GAGTTTTTAGCTAATATATATATATATATATATATATATATATATATATATATATATATATATATATATATATATATATATATATATATATAATTTGCCATTTTCCAGTGTTAATATTTGTCATTTGAGTTGCTTTATGCAGATGGTAATAGACTTTTCCTGGGACTCCATGATATATCTCCAGGTAGTCTATAACATTTTATGTGTCATTTGTATTATTTTTTCATAATATACAGTTTTCAATAAAAGGGGTTAATTGCTCTTTGCTGGCTGAGCACTTGTGGCGCCATCTAGTGCAAACAAATTTCACAAAAGAAGTAACAGTGGACATTGTGACTACCCAGATCCATTGGGTTAAAAATGGAACACTTTCAAGTTTTATGTCTGCAAAAGATGGATAAATTTCAGGAAGATAATAGTGATGAAATTAGGCAAACCATTATTATACCATCTTTCTTATCTTTTCAGACTTTGCCAGGATGGGGGTTCGCCAGAGGAAGAAAATGCGAAAGCAGTTCAGATATGAAACCAATCGTAAACGGGAATTCAACAAAGGAAAAAAGACCAAAATAGATATGTAAGTTGTTTGATAGTTTGTGTTTTCATATATATATATATATGTGACAATAATTAAGAGAAAATTGGAAATGTAACCTATCAATATAATGGAAAGCAGACAAAAATCATTGTACCACAATTTACTTTCTCAATTTAGCATATTCTTTTGCTTTCAGTGAGGTGATTAGGAAGGTTTGGGACAAATCAAAATCAACGCACACAAACATGGCCCAGTTAGGACTGGAATACAAGCTGAATAAGATAATGCCACCCAATGAAATGGTATGTATGGAGAATATCTTTAGTAATACAAAGTTTTTCTTTGCTCTGTGTTTCTAAGGTAAAACAGTGAAGCATAAGTATTCTGCTTTGAATTTTTTAACCTCCCTATTATAGAATTTTGTACAGTATTAGAGAAGTATATAGCATCCATGCATTTTAGCAGTTTATTTTAGATGGTTTCGTCAACATGAGGTTATTGAGAAGGGAAGTTCATCTTTTTTCTTTCTTTATAAATAGGAAACAGATGTACAGAAGAAGGACATTGTGGATGAAGGAAAACAGAAAGCTGTGGTAAGTTTTCAGCTGTCTTTTAATGTAGCTAAAAAAAAATTGCAGTCTTTTAATATTACCAAAAAATAGATAAAAGAAAATTAATAAATCATGTGGAGACAGTTGCTGTTTATATTCATGAAATAATACATTTTGGTATCTTTAAATATTTGACACTTGTTTGTCTCAGGTGGAAACCTTGGAGGGTCAAGTGAAGAATCAGGTAGCCAAGACAAAGTTGCCTCCACGACTCACACATTCACAGCGCAGCTACATTAGGTACATGATGCAAAGACATGGAACTAACTACTATGTAAGTATAAAAAGATTAAGCATAAATTTGAAAGTGTGCTTTTAAAATGAGATTTTTTAAAAGATAGTATTACAGACCAATACTGTAACACTTTATTGATGAGTGTGCATAAATAGACAATACTTATTGTACACTTTTTTTATATTATTCTCTTGTTATGTATGTCTTTATGTGGGCAAATGGATATGTAGAACAAAACTGATGAATGTAGATTAGGCCTTTAGAAGTTAACATTACTACATAAACAATTTAAGTGATAGATATATAATGGTGAAATATGCAAGGAGACAAGAGGCAACTTTCAGAAGTCAACAGAGTAAGCATGTCAAATTTCAAAAGCTCTTTAATGCAGTTGAAAGTTGTTTTACTATTTTAGGGGACTCTTTTCATCCTTTTGTTTACATTGGTAATAATAAATGTGATCTTTAGCTTTGAATTCATGGTTGTAATCTTGTTTTGTTTTGATTGTAGAAACAAAGGTTTGTATATCTTGCCCGGAAGAGGTTTCTCATATTCACAGATAGGACTATGCTTATGGTGTTGAATAAGATTATAGTTATTATAATTATATCAAAGCAAAGGATGTAAGGCTATTTGAACAGGCATTTTACTTATGATTTAGCTAATTTCTACTTTTTTTATATTATTCCTTTTCCAGGCTATGTCAAAAGATCCCAAGAATTACTATCAAGATACCCCAAAGCAACTGGAAGCAAAGATCAAATCTTATATGGACAATCCTAGATACTACATTCCAGAAATGAGGAAGAAAGGCTTACTTCCAGCTAAATTGGCAGAGAAGAAACAGAAGGTCCAAGACAAGAAGAAGAAGGCACAAAAGAAAAAATTCAATTCCAAGAAGAAGTCATAAAAAGGCTTTTGTGTGTGAATGTGTGTATGAATATGGTATAGATATAAAAACTGTCAATTTACAGTGGTATTTTTGTTGTTTTTTGAATGTCGACAAAAAGTAAAAATATTATTATTATTATTTTTTTTTTTTGTTAACTGGTTTACTAAAATAGATGTTTTATGCTTTATTCTTTATTATATAATAAAGTTGGTAAATTGACTATATCATAAAATTTTATTTTCCTGTATTATACAGCTTAAAGTGTATATAAATCAGGTTTGAAAATGGATTTTCACAATTGGTTAGGTAGCAGATGTATAAAATTACTTGGTAGACTAATAATAACCCCTTGTGACATCACATTTACAGGTGCTGCTCATGTGGACAGATTTCTCTGAAAGGAAGTTATAAACAAATGAAATTTAATAATTTTTTTATTTTGTGTTCACAGATCTTACTTTATGTTCATATTTTTCTTGTAAGATAATATATACAAAGAACTTAGGTGTCTAAAAGAAACATTTTTTGCTTCCAACCACAGATCACTGCATTGTAAGAGCTGACAATCGACATCAAGGCATGAAAATAGCAAATTAATGAAGTGTACATATATAGATCTGTCTACAGGGTTGTTAACATTTTCTATACTTATTGAGAGCAGTCAAGTGACTTACAGCATACAAAACCTAAAGGTGATGTTTGGTTTCAAACACAATAATGTTACATTACATCTGTGACTCCCTGACGAAATAAGAATGCAATCTTCTGTACAACTTATTCACAAGAAATGGTGTCCTATCACCAGATGTTTTGTCAAATTATAACTTGAAATCTTCGGTAACTCGCAGAGCCTGTAAATGATGAAGAGACTTTTAACAACCAGAAGAATATCTTAGTGCCCATATGGGTGACCAGGCCCTCCTACGTGCCACTGAATACCTATATTGGCTTTCTGGACATTTTTTTTGGGGGGAGGGTGGGGGCTTGTCTTATTAGTTTGAGATAAGTTAGGGAGTACATGCAAACGTGGCTAATTTAATGCTACTTTGAGTTGTGTAATATGCTTGCAGTTTGTACCCTGGTAGAAGTTAGAAGCAACCCGGTAAACAAGTCTGGACGTGGCACATGGTGAAATACATTCATTCAACAAGCACTCCACAAGTTGATTTATCCCAGGGTGGGTAAGCAATAACTTTCAAAGAAAGTGCCCTACCTTTACTCAGCCTTTATAAACTTCTCGATGGCGCGCTTTCAACAGTTACGGCAAACGTTTAGTGTAACAATACATCTTGAAATCAGTTAGAACAGTGCTTGAGTTACAGTATTCTCAAATGAGTGAACATAGATCTTTCTTTTGTTCATTTTTTGACCATGCTTATTTTCAAAATGAAAATCGTGTGTTGCGTTTACGGTGCATACACTGGAAAACACGAATCCCCGAAATTGATGTTTTTGCGGTTTCTTCAGTTCATGGAGACAAAAGATTTTGTATCATTAAGATGTAGTAAAATAGACTAATATTGCAAAATTACTTTAAAAAAAAAAAAAATATACTGACAAACCACATTTTCCGGCTGAGAAGGTGCCACCATTTTAAAGGTTAGAGCCTGAAGAAAATTCTAAAATTAGTCTATGGCATTTCTAAGGTATGAAGTTGAAATGTTTCCATTAATTTTTCCATACTAATATGATCGGCGGTTATTGCATACCGAGTGGAGATGCCCCCTTCCCTCGTAAGCTATTTCTGTCGGCTAATTTCTTTCTTTTCCTGGTGAGTAATCATCAAGTGCGTGTCACATCTGGACTTAAGTGTGCGTGTGGGAAGAAATCAGTCCTCTTATCGGCAAATTGTACAAGGATAATTTAATTAAAATTATTAGACGTCGTTGGGCGAGCTTAAAACCCCTTACGGAGTAACTCAAAACGCTCTAAGCCCAAATAATTGTATTTATATGCGCAATAGTTAAGTGTGATTTGATTTACACAAACCGTTGTTCTTTTATGAAAAAAAATAAAAAAAATAAAAAAAAAACGTCATAGCCTCATTCCGGCATTTCGTGGGAAGATCCCAGTTCCGGTATTCGGGACAGAATGCTGATCATAGCGCATGGAATATTCTAGAGCAGTGTTTCCCAAACTTTTTCGAGTGCAACCCTAAAGACAGTCTTAGCCTAGGCTAGCGACTCTAAATGTGTGATCATGTAGTAGTATATCCAACCATTTTCATGGTAGTTATACTTGCAGCTGTATACTGGCTTACGTTATTCTATACTTTTATGTTTATATTACCGACGCATTGAATTTCAATAAACAAATGCTAATAAAAAGCATTAACTTTTACTAACATATCCAGCTATGGATTTTTTAATTCTTCTTTTAAGACCCTCTGGCGACCCTCAAAAAAACCCTGGTGACCCTCATTTGGGTCGCGACCATGGGGTTGGGAACCAGTGTTATAGAGGATCAAATATTGAAAGGCACTGGAACCAAGAGAAGACCTTTCCATGATAAATATTTCTTAGTTCTGGTCAGGCCATCTGCGTTAATAATTATTGTTTCATTTTCTCTGCACAAGTGTCTGTAAAATGTTTGTAAAATGTCAATGTATGTAGTTACACATTCTCTCATTAAAGTAATGAGTAAATGTGTGACGGAATGTAATGTTATTAAGGAAATTCTAAAATTGAATTAACAGACTCACAAACAGATAATGAAAATGAACGT